GGACTGAGGCAAGCATTAGTAGAAACTTCTCCCCAAATAGACATTTAACACAAGTTTACATCAGGGACGTGAACGATGCTGCAAATACTCTTAACCTTTTGAATGTTGCAGCTGTGGTGTGTTAAGATATGATGCAATTAATTAATATGCTGTGGCATCTACTAGAGTCTTGAAATGTAAATTGAACAAAATACTGAAATAATTTTTACTTCTGACTGTTGAGTTTCTTGAGATCTCTACCATACAGGTACAAGACATCCATTTTAATGCAAGTTAAGTTTGTCTTAATCCTTTTAAAGTCTTATGTTTCTACCTTATTTGTTCTAATACATGACTGTCTGTCTTTCTCATTTGTGGCTTCTTACAGATTTGGTTTTTGCCTGTCTCATTAGTGCTGTGGCTTGCTTGTGACTTGGTACATTGTTCCCTTTCAAGGCAGACTTGTCTGGCTCTTTAAAAATAATCGTTGCTAAGAAACTCCTGTTGCCTCTAAATTGGTACCAGTGGATGGGCCTTTTGTTGTGTGATGTTCCATCACATGTTAAAAAAATTCTCTTTCATGCTGCAATGCTTTTCAATATGAAAAAGTTCAGTTTTGTGTGTTTTTACTATTTTCAGCTCTTTAAGACTGGGAGGGGTAGGCTCTTAGGACTACTAAAAGACCTGTCTGCAGCTGGGATTGAGCCTGATTTATTTGGCAGCCAGAAGGGTTGAACTGTTGTCTCCAGAGCTAGCAAATCATTCCATAGAGCTGACATTGCTACTTGGATGGACTGTGTTAGACATTTTGGTTGTTTGAAACTCTGCAAAGTGATTATTCTGACTCTCTCGGTGCCAAGGATGTGAGTTGAAATAACACATGGCAGAAATGTAGAACTTTGCCTACTAATTTGCTGCTTGGCAAATTGCTTTCTATACTGACTACACAGAAGCTTGTAGATTACGAATACTTGATAAGTTGTAGTTAAAAAATAAAAAAATCAAGCTGTTCAACTCTTTAAAAGTCCCAGTAATAGCAATCACTGTTCGGAGAGAATGAGAAAGACATCAGAACTCTATCTTTTTGCAGTTGTAAGTCTCTGGAGCTGTATAGCCACACTTTACGACACCCTCTTACATTTTTGGCTGCTGTTTCATTCTACTTATATTAAAGAGAGCATTTATTCTGTAGAAAAATATGAGGGCAGTAGTTAAGATTTCACTGGATATTTTATAGTGCCACCTTTCTAGTACCTGGTAGGCGATTGCTGGTCTAGTACTGAGAGTCGAAAAATCAGGCTCCATCATAATTAATTTGGTAATAATTTCTATATTTTACTTTTTGTACTGCAATATTTTAATATTGCTCAAATTTTGAAAAAAATACAGTCATAGGTTGTTTTTTGTTTGGTTTTTTTGGGGATTTTTTTACTTTTGTATGGTTTTTCTTTTTGGGGGAGAGTTGAGTGTTTAGTTTGAGGGGAGGTTTGAGAGATTTTTGTTTGGTTTGGTTGCATGTGTTTTGTTCTGTTTTAAATTGTCCTGTTTGTTCATGCTAACTGTTGCCTTTCAACTGTTTGCCATCATTTTGCCAAAAACATTTTGGTAGATCTCCTTTTGCTGTGTGT